TCCGGTCAGTATGGCGGATATACAGGCTTATAGGTTTTAGTCATCTATCTATCTATCTATCTATCTATCTATCTATCTATCTATCTATTTATCTATCTATCTATCTATCTATCTATCTATCTATCTATCTATCTATCTATCTATCTATCTATCTATCTATCTATCTATCTATCTATCTATCTATCTATCTATCTATCTATCTATATCTATCTATCTATCTATCTATCTATCTATCTATCTATCTATCTATCTATCTATCTGTCTGTCTGTCTATCTATCTATCTGTATCTATCTATCTATCTGTCTGTCTGTCTGTCTGTCTACATGTCTGTCTGTCTGCCTGCCTGTCTGTCTAATATGTCTGCCCGTCCATCCACCCATTTTTCTCTGTACTAAAAAAAACGTTCGCTCGTGAGTGCGACCGAACTCACCATATTATCACTGAGAAGACTTAATCCTAAGACCCCATAGAACAAATTCCCTCACGGGCATATATCAATCAAATTAAAACTAACATTCCATTTAACACTAAAACACACTGAAACAAAATTTCCCCAAGCTTATTCCGCCAGTGTTTAGCTGTTATCCACTGAACAACAACGTGTGTTAAACGCTAAATAGAAAAATTGATCAAGTCCTGTGTTGACACAACGGATCCGCTCTCAATGCTTTGAGCAGCCGGCTAATCCTCGGACCGTTACTAACACGCTGCACAACTATTGACGCAATTAACCCTGTGTGTTAGTTTAGTCTGTTCATCGACACAGAAACAGTGGACTAAATCACCATCTACAAACAGCGTGTTGAAGCTTGGCGAAGCCTGTTTTGCCCGAGCATTGTTGGTTCCTGACTGAAAGGTTGCGTTGAAAATGCTTCAGGTATTGTACCCACAATGCAATGGGGTAACGGCGGGCAAAGATTTCGTGTCAGGGCACTGAACCCTGTACTTTTACTTTCAGTATCTGGGAATACTATACGGCCTGTGGGTAAAATCTGGCTCGCCGAGGCCTAGCAAGTGTCCCGCGGATCGCCTACTAACTATACTGTATTAATGACCATTTAGGCCAGCTTTAGCAGAAAGGCAGAACAGGTCAACGGATATTCCAATTTTGTTAGGCCGGTCTGTGCTCACCATTGTTATCGAGTAAATTTAATTACACATTAAACTACAATTTAATAAACTTGCAACAAATTTAATTAAATATTTTATTATTTTTCTATTTTCTAACGGCTGACTTATTTATCTTCAAAATGATAATTCCTGCAATGAAATATGTAGCAAATTAATTAGATGGTAGTTTAATTTGTCTATAAATGTACTCGATAACAATGGTCGTGGGCCGGCCTAACAAAACAGGAATTTCCGTAGACCTGTTCGGCCTTACTTCTAGAGCTGGCCGTGGATCATTGTCACCGTCTTCTCCAGAGCAGGGCTACCAATGCTGGGTTTTCCCCCCAGATCTGGGTTTTTATTTGACGCCTGGGGGGAAATCTGTTTTTTTTTTTTTTATTATCCTTATAAATGTGGTAAATGTTTCGTTTAACAATCTGGGTTTTGTTGTTGTTTGTCTATGTATTGCTTGGGTTTTTGTTCAGCTAAAAAAAATCCAGTTAGCAGCCCTGCTTCAGAGTAAATAGAGTCGGCCGTGATCATTCCATGCTTGAGCCTTGGTCCGTGACGATCGCCATTTCCCAACATCTGGCCCTGAATACACTTCCTAAACAGCCTGACTCTTTATATAAGTATACATTTCTTAGCATTTTCTATCTTTCTGTAACCCCCCCCCCCCCCCCCCCCCTTTCCTTTTTTTTTTTCTTTATTTTTAAAAATCTGTTTATGAAATAATACTTGGAAGGTTCTAAAAATCTGTAATTGTTTTAAATCCCTATTCATGAAAATTAACTTGAAGGTGGCCACTGTAAAGTACACAAACTGTTATGTAAAGTACACAAACTGTTATGTAAAGTACACAAACTGTTATGTAAAGTACACAAACTGTTATGTAAAGTTCACAAACTGTTATGTAAAGTACACAAACTGTTAAAGGTACACAAACTGGTTTATGTACATTACAACAAACTGTTATGTAAAGTACACAAAAAGTACTGTTATGTAAAGTACACAAACTGTTAGTAAAGTACACAAAACTGTTACGTAAACAAACTGTACACAAACTGTTACGTAAAGTACACAAACTGTTACGTAAAGTACACAAACTGTTATGTAAAGTACACAAACTGTTATGTAAAGTACACAAACTGTTATGTAAAGTACACAAACTGTTATGTAAAGTACACAAACTGTTATGTAAAGTACACAAACTGTTATGTAAAGTACACAAACTGTTATGTAAAGTACACAAACTGTTATGTAAAGTACACAAACTGTTATGTAAAAGTAAAAAGTAAAGATCCATGTTCACGCCGTTAGGCGTATCTGGTATATAGGAAAAGCACCCATGATATTACAGGCCATCGGCACTAGGTGGGTAGTGTAGTCTTAGGCCGGCCGTCTTTACTTTCCCAGGAGAGCGATCCTGGAACCCATTTTAGGCTGAGTCGACCTGCGACGCCACATAGCATGATAAAAATCCACGCAGCCGGCAGTGGGTTTCGATGGCGGTATGTTGGAATTACGAGTTGGACTCGCAACGCCTAAGCCACGACGCGGCATGCACAAACTGTCATACCGAAAGTTTTAATATAGCATGTGTTGGCGCGGAAGATAACTCTGAACCAAACAAACTATCTACCGTATCTGTGGATGAAGCAAGACTGGTTGGTGTGTGGTGCCCTCTTTATTTGGCCAGAAAATCCTTTTAAAAAATCTGGTTAGACATTTGAACATTGCAATTCTGCTGGAAGACTGTTATTGTTGGCACATCTTGCGGCTGCTTTGTACATTTAACTCTTGTGTGTACGAAGATTGTACCAGGACCGATATTTACTAGTTTTTCAAATTAGGCAGTGACAGATTTTGTGGGATAAAAACTTCATATTATCATAGTCTTTTCCATGATCAGTCTACAAGGATAGCAGAGTCCCTAAGCAAATTCTTTATGGTAAATTAAAGGCAGAAATAGGATGTCGAGGCCGACCTCTACTACTGTATAAAGATGTGTGCAAGCCGGACATGAATGATGCAGGTATTGAGGTGGACTCATGGAAACAAAATACCATTACAGCGTGTTGTGTGGAGAGAGCATTATCAGGAAGGGAATGAGAGTGAAGGAAGAAATGATTGCAGAAAGGATGAGAACTGAGCAAATGAAAAGAAGAAACGGATTAAACACAAATGTTGACAACAATAGTCCTGAAATTCCATGCTATCATTGTGGAAGACCTTTCTTGACACAGGCGGGTCTTGCTAGTCACACTCGCCATCGCCATGGGCTGTGTCCCATGCCTTCTCATAGCGCAATATAACACAATCGTCTGGAAAGACGGAAAGATGCCAACCGAATCACGATAATAACTTCATATAAGCAATTACGACACAATATAGCTTAACACATTTATTAAATGTTCTTACACAGAAACTGAATTATGCGACGACTGGAAAGATTTGTGGGGTGGGGGGGGGGGGGGGGCGGGGAGAAAAAGAAAAAGAAAAGAAGAAGAACTTTATATGAACTGTCCACCGCGGAAATATAAAAAAAAAAGTGCTACGTTAGTATTGTGAAACAAGCTCACTAACCTCTAAGCCAGGGAACAATAAAAGCTGGGTTTATTTTCATTCCAAAGAAACACACGATGTTGTTAAATGACGTTGAATTTGTTGGTTCGGATCGATGTGAACGTTCTCAGGCCTAGTATATTTTTTTGTTCTTTGTGGCCGCGGGTAGATAACTCACGTGTGCAAATTAGTAGTAATCTGATAGAAACTGTTCTAGAAACATTTGACAGAAATGTACAGTCTTGGCATTTCATGATAACATCACCAGATCTCTCTCTCTCTCTCTCTTTCTCTTCTCTCTCTCTCTCTCTCTCGCTCTCTCTCTCTCTCTCTCTCTCTCTCCACATTTTCTCAAAATAGATATTTCGTGCTCTTATGCAAGACTGAATCAACATTTCAGTATCTTCAATCACACACGTGTGTGTTCCTGGGTTTACACTGTGTGAGGGAGGTGAGACAGATCATCTGCCCCCCCCCCCCCCCACTCATTTATCGAGGTGCATCTGCCTGAGAAGCAGGGAAACAAGTCTGTACATAAATATACTTGATCTGTGCAATGGGCTTGCTCTCAAAACTCAAGCTGTGGAACAAGAATAACGCACAGAAGTGGACGAACAACCCAAACTGTCCACCAAAGTTTACAGCATGTGAACGCGAACTAGAAGAAGAAAGAAGAAGAAGAAGAAGAAGAAGAAGAAGAACAACAAAAAGAAGAAGAACAAAAAGAAGAAGTAAAAGAAGAAAGAAGAAACAGAACAAGAAGAAAGACAAAAAGAAGAAGAAGTAGAAAAAGACGAAGAAGCCAGACGACCCAGACTAGCGAACCGGCAATACGTCCCTTTTGGTTAAGCTGTGTCTGCCTCGCTTTCTGGAGGTCCTGGATACATTTCAGACATTGTGACGTTCAGTTATCTGACAAATCTTTCACACTAACATGACTGCGTGACCTGGGAGTAAAGCCCGGCGAAGCACGCCTTCAAGGCCGATAGAAGAGACACACCCAACTCCTAATGGAAACACTGAGTAGAGGTACATTGGAGCCGCTGTTGCATCGAAAGACTGAGAACACATGGTTGAATACCCAATGTGCGGTCACGTCGACTAGGATGACTAGAATAACGTCATTCGGTTCGTATTAGCACTTTTACGAGATGTACTGGATCGTCACTGGCGCTACAGAGATCTTGCTTTTTGCGACACTCACGACAGGTTAGTTAATGTTATGCAGAGAGACCCAGTGTTACCCCCTCGACTGTTACACATTAGACAAACTGCTGTAAACGTTACATAACACTACAAGACATTTTCAAATAACTTACATTGATCACACAATGGTCTCACTGTCTGATTTCCCACGCTTGGACTTTTCTGTTCTGATAGCCCTGGACGATGGAGCGCTGCCGACCTTAGCAGGCACCTGATGATAGTGATGCACGGGAACCGTGTACTCAATCCCCTTCCTATCCCTTCTGGGTCCAAACAATTTCTTAAACTGGATTCTCCATGAACCCATAGTTTTCGTAGACCATACCCAAACACCGCTGGTGATTCCTACGACCAGGGACATAAAGAGTTTCAGCATGAAGATTTCAACGTTTGGGGTCGCTTTCGACTTGATGGAGTACCAATCATCCCTCGAAGTGTACTCATACAGTAAGCATCCTATGACTGAAGCAGCGGGTACTGTGTATAATACTGAAAAAATTCCAATCCTGACTTTCAACGCTTCAATTTTGTCTTCACCGGCTGGGCCTGTAGAATTAGAGCCTGTTACTTTATCTGTGGTGCGGGCGGACTGTCTGTGAGTTCTCAGAAGTGAGGCAAAACCAGCGACTAGAAAGGATGTACCCAAGATGAGGTAGACTATGAGAGGGGCAATGGCAAAAGCCATCAGAGTTGAGGTGCTCTGACTGCCAACGTAGCAAATCCCCGTGAGCTCGTCAGCATCCACGTCTCTCATGACGAGTATGATGATGGTTTTGATAGCAGGGATTGCCCAGGCTGCCAGATGAAAATAGCTGCTGCGAACCTGAATTGCTTCGTGACCCCACTTGAGCCCTGTAGACAAGAACCAGGTCAAGGTGAGAATGACCCACCATAAAGAACTGGCCGTGCCAAAAAAGTACAGCAACAAAAACACGATAGCGCAATCGGTGTTTTCCAGCCCTTCTTGGATAAGTATGCTCTGTCCACTCTGGCTTTCCGTGTCACAAGCGATGTCTTCTCGGCCGGCAATCAGTCGAACGATGTAGGCGATACTGTATATATTGTAACACATTGCCATTAAGATAATGGGCCGCTCTGGGTAGCGGAAGCGTTGGGAGTCTATCAGGAACGTCAAAATTGTAAAAAGAGTGGAAGCGAAGCAAAGGCCGGCCCAAACCGCCATCCATACATTAGCGAAGTATTTATTGTCGTCAGTGAATGCATCGTTCTGACCGCATAGCAAGGCGCAACGGTCTGTTCGATTGATGTATGTATACTTCATAAAGTTGCGATATCCCAAATGTACGCACGGCTTGTAGTTTAGCTTTGGAAGATCTGGCAGTCTGAAGTCTGGAATGTCTTTGCCTCGAGATCCACCTCCATACCTTGATGTCGCGTCTGTTGTGTGTTCGGGTCGAGGTCGTCGTATCGGTGGTACCGTATGTTTGTCGTTCTCATCATCAGGCCCCTCCATACACATATGTTCGTGGTTGTTTTCCGTAGGAAACTTGGTACAGTTTAGAGCTCCGGGCCAGGGGTAACCAAATTCATGCAGCACCGGTTTACAACGATCCCGAACACTCTCACACAGCGGCCTACACGGGCCTATTGGCGTGATGACTTTTTCTGTACACATCGGAACGTATACCGAACACAAGAAAAACTTTAGGCGACTGGAACAGCCGTACTGAATCAAAGGAGTAAACGTCTGCAGTTGCAGAATAGCATCTTCCTGATCCAGCTGGTCCGCCAGATTTGGCATTCCTGTCACGTTGTAGCCCAGCCCTCGGCACATGGTCGATCTGATTACTTCACATGACCTGACAGTTTCCGAGCCAAACGTCGAGTAAATTAAACATACCAACACAAATATGCATTGTTTTAATCGAGATGTATTCATTACGCTTTTGCCGTATGTCTGCGTAAACAGATTGGAAAAACTGTTACTAGCCATGTTTTTTATTAACTATTTAACTAGACCGCTAGAATCATAAAACTAAACAGTATATACGACGGAACTGGGGGTAACACAAGAAATGCCTCACATTGTGTGTTAAAACTCGAGATAAATCCTCAAATTAACCCGATAGGCGCAGACAGGGCGTGCAGTACTTACGTGTGTTTCACGTTGGAAAGTTTACTTAATCAAATTTACTTCCAGTACGGAATATTTAACTAACACAAACAGAATTATAATATTCTCCAATATTCTCCTTCATTCACGAATAAATACCATAAGCTACATTATTCGTTCGCATTGTTTGTGAAAACTACGAAAAGTGTACACACACAAAGATCGGTAAAATCCCAAGTTCCTTCGTTGTTGTTCAGCAAGTGGAATGCAGTGCACGCACCAGCTTTGAACCAAGACTAAGAAGAGAAGACCTGCGCGGCGGCGGTGAAACAAGCAGCGTTGATATACCCTCTCGCTTTCTCCTCGGGCAGTATTGTAGTGTTCTCGCGCAGAAAATATTGCAGCCAGTCTCTCTGTTAGACCCGAGCTGTTCACACGCAATGCATCCAATGAGAACCGGGCTTTTTCCAGACGCTCCACCCAACCGCTTGATTTACCCGTGGTAATGGGTACGCATCAATCATTATCGGTTGCTTGTCAATCAAAATGAGGTGTCCCTTTTTTCTTCTTCACTAGGGCCTCATTGCCTGTCGCCTTAACAATAATAGTTCCATTCATTACCTGTTCTTTGATACGCACTGGTCTATTCAGCGGCGCCGAGTAAAGGCCGAATCTGAATGGCACTAAAGGTGATTGAAATAACAGCCAGAATAATCCACAAACACAGGCAGAAACTAGTGTAGCGTGGACACAGGAACAAATCCGACATGTAGAAAGCCAAAGACACAAACCGTGAATAATCGGCCAAGTAGAGCTGGGTTTTTGGCAACCATTCATACGATGTTTTTGAAAACTCCAAGTGTCAATACCAGCCCGGGTTTGTGTCAGAAATACCGCGGCATGCCCCAGTGGCATCATTCACCTGCGTCAAACCAGAAATAGAACGCTTATACTTTTGAACAAACTGTTTTTAAATTGGGTTTCTTTTGCGAAGTGGGGTCTGTACGCGAACGCCCGGGTTGCAACTTTGCAGCGATAAACTGTAATTTATGTCTTTGTGAGAATGATCTGGTTGGCAGCGTTAGTGCGGAGGATCTTGTCTACAGACTAGAGATGTTACATGGTTCAGTGTGTGCATGGTTGCCTCTGTAACTGTTGCTCACTGGATGGTTTCCATATTCACAGTAATGATGATGTTTATAGCAGGCAAAATGGCTACATTCCGTTAATCGTCTGCTTCATTTGACAGGTGAAAACCTCCAGCGTTTAAGATCTGCTGACGGTTGTAAGTGGTGTAATGTTGGCGCCAGCCCTCGGGTGGGGGGGGGGAGGGGGGGGGGAAGTTACGGAATATGATTTCAGTCATTGTACGACACAAGATGACGTTATCATTATCAAGCGAGCAAAGTTGCATTGCTTCGTCAAGTCTTTGATTCGCTAAATTCCATTTCGACAAGTATGTTTATTTTAGGCTTTTATTAAATTCGCTTTGTTTGTTTGTTTGTCTGGTACCGTTTTTGCGTTCTATTTTTATACTATTTCTTGATAAGCTATCGGGCTAAAACGTTGCACACATACGCCTTATGGATGACAGCGCAGTAGAGTGAAAAACTATTCCTAAGAGAAAGGTGTTTTTTTTAATGGTCATTTTCGATGTCCAATAAAAAATATATATAATTGTAAAGCCAGTGAATAAGATATATATTTTTAAACGAAAATAAACCTTTTAACGTGGGAGATCATTCATTATTTCATATTGGAACAGTCTTTGAAAATGATATACATATAATTGCATAGTTCAGAAAGCAATGGCAAAGTACTGGACGTAAATTTGCCTTAAAAAACCAAAACAGCCACAAAATGCTGTGGTTGGTTCTGCAGTGTCTTGTAAAAGATACGCAACAAATAAACTTAACTCATTGTATAGTATCTGTTTATACCAACTTACTCAAATGCATAGAGATAACTGCGAGAGAATTCCCATTGCCTTCTGCAAATAATATCCATTGTGACAAATTTATGTGAGCGTTAAGACGAAGAGCATAAATCCAATCATTCACAGATAATTATTTCATAATTCTTTAAGTTGATGGACTTGGCATGCTTACCATATCAAAGAGTCAGCTGATAAATCTTGAACGCATACAGAATGAAGCCATGCGGGTCATTCTGGGTTGGAGAAGAGATACCAGGTAGTGTGGATGCGATATATACTTTGACTGCCTACTTTTGCAGATAGGCTCAAAGTTCTGCAAGCAAAGTAGCTGCGGACAAGAGGCACTGAATAAAGCTCCGGATAGAGCTAACGGTCACAGACTGAAAAGAGGAAAGTCTTGGATGGCGCAAGCTGAAGACACATTTGGACATGTGCGCAGGCTTGATAAATTTAGGCGAGTAGAGGAGTGGGTCAATGTGTCCGATCAGGTTTCAGATTTGTGTAGGGTTCTAATCACTTTGGAACTTGACTGCAGGGATTGGCCAGCTGGTGCTGCAGAATCAGAAGTTCAACAAATGATTCATGACAATTCCCGCCCAAGTGATGTGTTTGTATATACAGATGGCTCTGTGTTAAGGGGCAGACGAAGTGCATAGGGGTTCATAACGAAGAGAAATGGACGTTGCTTGGTGCAACAAAGCCTGATGATATCACAAATTCTAGTTTGAGAATGAAGGTGGAGGCAGTCACTGCTGCCTTCCGTTGGCTTGAGAATCAACTGTACGCACATGTCGTCATTATAACTGACTCAGAGAGCATTCTGAGAAAGTTAGAGACAGGCATGCTCCGTGCAGAGTGGCAAGCATCACTTAAGAGGTCTAGGGTAGTTGGCATCCTTTGAATATTTTCTTCCAGTGATGCCGGTGTGGTGGGAAATGAGCAGGCAGATAGACTGGCTAACTGGCTAGTTCTGCACCACTTGGTGGTGAACTCATGTATGACAATCTGGATGTTGTGAGGGTCCTTTGGGAGCGATTGAACAGTGCCGATGAACGTATAGATCATTACGGTCTGAGGAGAATGGCACTGCGAGGAGTTACAAGGGGATCTGGCCGACGCTCGACACTCAGGGGGAAGGCGAGACGGATATACAATCAGATAGTTACTGGTACCATCGGAATTTTCACTCTTCGCTTGCTGCTGGAGATTGGAACGGAGCGCTTATGGAGGTGTCCCGAAAGCTGTAATGTCGATTCTTAATTCAACATTCAACAGTCTACTTCTCCTGTTTTATATATATATATATATATATATATATATATATATATATATATATATATATATATATATATATATATATATATATATATATATATTTTAAAGAATCTTTTGTTGTTTTTGACGATATCCTCTTCTTCTTTTGCCTTTCTAACCGCCCATGGAACAAAGGTCCTCAGCCAAGTCACGCCAAGTCGTTCTATCTTTCGCTATCGCATGCAGCTCTTCCAATGTCCTCCCCATTTTTTCAACTACACTCTCCAGCAGGTCCATGTGTTTCTAGGTCTTCCCTTGCTACCTCCATTGTTCTCCCTACACCATAAAAAGTTCTAACGTTCCAGGTGCCAATTCTGGAGGTTTTCCTAGGCGAAAGAAGGTACCTCGACGACCCGGACTTGTTTCGGCTTTCTCCGCCCCGTGTCATCATACTTACTTTACGATAACTATAGCTTTCCATTTTTATGTTGTCTAGTGTGTTCTTCTATCTACTTCTTTCTATGAGTGCCGATTAATACAATTTCTGTTAGTTGATTAATACTTACTTTACCAGAAGAGCCTCCCCTGCAAGATGTTTGCTGCTTATTTATGGAACCATCTTCCACTTGATCTGAAAAGTACAAAGAGTTCCTATTCATTTTAACGCGAACTTTTTCAGCTCATGCCTACAAGTGATTATATGCCACCTTAAATGTAATTATTAGCCCGTATTGCATTATCAGTTTATAGTTAAATAAGGTGTTTATGATACGTATGTATGCGTGTATGCTGACTTGTAAATGTGTAATATGTATGTATAGGCGTGTTTGTGCATGTGTGATTCTGTAAATGTATAAGTGTTTGCATTGGTAATTGTATAAGATCGTGTGTGTGTCTGTGCATGCGTATGACTGTGTGTGTGTGTGTGTGTGTGTGTGTGTCCCTGGGTGTCTGTGTGTGTGTCTCGGTGTGTATGTGTCTGTGTTTTTAAGTCTGTGTGTGAGTCTACGTGTACGTGACTGTGTTTGTCTCTGTGTGTGTGTGCATGCTTGAGTTTATGTGTACCTTAGCGTGTGTATCTGTATTGGGGTACGTGTCTGTGTGTTTATGTGCTTGCGTGTGTGTGTGCCTGTGCTTGTGTCTGTGTGTTTATGTATGTATGGATATGTCTATGTGAGTGTTTGTCTATGCACGAGTGTGTGTGTCGGCGTGTGTGTGTTTGTCTTTGCGTTTGTTTGTCTTCGCGTTTGTAAGTGTGTCCGGTATGTGTTTCGGTGTGCGTGTCTACGTGTATATGTATATGTCTATGTTTGTGTTTGCGTGTAATGTCTGCGTGTGTGTCTGTGTGTATGTGTCTGCGTGTGTATCTACGTGTGCATCTGTGGGTATTTTCTGTATGTGTGTTTGTGTCTGTATGTGTGTGCTGTGTATGTTTGTGTGTCTGTGTCTGCGTATGCGTTGTTGCGTGTTTGTGTCTGCCTGAGTGTCTGCGTGTGTTTCTACATATGTGTGTCTGTGGGTGTGTTTGTCTGTGTGTGTTTATACATGTGTTTCTGCATTTTTTGCGTGTCTGCCTGTATATGTGTGTATGTCTGTGTCTGTTTGTGTCTGTGTATATGTCTGCGTGTATGTGTCTACCTGAGTGTCTGCGTGTGTATGTCCGCATGCATGTCTGTGTGTGTGTGTCTCT